TACTTGGAATAGGGCTTTGGGGTATATTATACTATAGTTATATTCAGGAACCCCCCAAAATAGTATAGGTAATTATTTAGGCCCCTATATAATTAATATATCCACCGAACACGAACAGCACAGTGTCATCCTCTGGTGCACGAGCACCTCAGGTGGTGCTGCCTCGGCATCGGCCCCTGAACAGGCTTGTGGGAGCTTAGCATTGTAAGGAGCCTACAGACAGGCAGCCCACAAGGTAAGTCATAGCCGTGGTAGACCATGAGAGGAGTGAGACTGGTGAAGATAACGAGTTTGAAGAGTAAGCTGGTGATGATGATACTCATGATACAGTAGTGACAGTGACGGTGGTGCGGATGGAGACTTTGCATTTCCTGGGAAGATGACAATGAAGATGATGAAGATGACGATGATGCTACTGCTGATGATGCTGATGGTTGAGGTGATGGTCATATGGTAATGAAAAAGGATGCTCTTCATGGCGGTGATGTTGATGCTGGGGGAAGTGAAATGTCACCATGAGACGGCTTATCTTTCACCATGACGTGCACGAATCATTCAACCACGGAGGGTAGTGACGTCCACTGTCGTCACAATCATCACTAAGCATCATCATCATCATCACCATCACCATCATGTGTTAATCATCGCCACCTGCGAAACCCATAATATTAAGTGATCATTACGGCCGTCCTCCATTGCGATTGCTTGCTACCAGGTGCCCCGGTTACTTGCGACTTGGAAGCTTTGATTGGCAGAGGAATTTGCCGTATACCGACTCTTCAAGCAGGCTTTGTTCACTGTCCGGATTATCCGAGACCAGAGGACTACTCTAGCATGGCAGCTTTGAAACCCGATACACTAATACTGGTGAACCAAGCTCATGCACATTCCGCGCCCGGAAATAGGAACGGAAGACCGAAGAGCCCGACACCGACAGACCAACAAGTAACCTTCGGCCTGGCTGTGCAGCATCGTGGGCCACAGTCTCGACTTCGGTAACTTCGGCATGCTCCAGCAGGAAGACCTGCTGCAGTTGGTGTCGCCATGGTCGTCTTCGCCAAGTGACTTCGCCAAAGAAAGATGAAGACGAGGAAGAAGACACTGACGATGCACGTGAATATGCGGGCAAAGAAAAAGACGGTGATGTCGCTGCTAACGATACAGAAATTGATGAATTTGGGGATGCGAGTGAGCTTGCAAATGCATGTGGCTCTGATGATTGTTTATGCTGATGTCGAGGGCGATGATGACGGTGGTGACGACGATGGTGCAATCCCCCGAAGACTATTTTGAGCTAAACATGACCAAAAGTTAGCTGCAGCGAAGGTCACCAAGGGGCTGAGCGATGGGAGCGAACACTTCTTCTCTTTGACAGGGCTCTCTTCTTCCATCCTTCCTATCTCTCTCTCTCTCTCTCTGTCGGGCTTGAGTGTGAAAATTTAGGGATTCGTGAGCTATCTTAACGCCTATGATAATGATTGCAAGAGCGAGTGCGCACTGGAAAGTGTGGCTTCAGTTCCCTTCCTTCCCGAACATTACGCTTCCAAAAGCGCCCCCTTGACTGCAGGAACTGCAGGCTGCACAGGGCCACGCGAACTTTCATCTTGTCACCTAAAGGCGATCGATGTTAGTTCTTTGTTACTGAGGGGGGGGGCTTCTAAATAATACCAGAGGCAACAGATCACTGCTAATGCTGCTGCTGCTGCTACTACTACTACTACTACTACTACTACCACTACCACTACTCCACCACAGTGTGAAATTGACGTTTCAAGGCCATGCAGAACTCGTGAGTGTAACAAGCCTAAGCCTCATAAGCCCTAAATATGGCGCACTAGAATCAGTAGAAATACCAAAACCGGATCCTCCCGCCTTCTTCTTGCCCCCAGCACGGGCCCGCGCAGGCTGTGGAACTCCAGGCTCCTTTCGCAAGTCTTTGGAAGCTGCAGGCTAGTGTAATGTAGGGGCCTTGATAATTAGAATAGGGTTTTGGGCCCCATTTATAGTATAGGCATAATGAGGAACCCCCATTAAAATAATAGAGGTAATTATTTAGGCCCCTACATTAAGCAAGCTGACAGAAATCGACAACAGCAACGGAGACAGCAGCTGTTGTAACATCGCCGGGTGCTCAGGTGTTTAGACAGCTCGTATCACTTAAGGCAAAGATGCGGCCGACAGTTGCCATCAAGACAGATCCCACAACAGTCTGCAGCCTAAGCCCTCGGCCGACCTTTCCGACATGAGCCTAATTAAAAAGCACTCAGGACCCTGCATCTCTAAACTCTGAAAGGGAATCCCACAACCTCGTTGATTCAGCCCGGTTTCCTCAATCTCCTCGACGAGATCTTCGGCGGAGCCACAGGGTCTGTTCACGCGGTGGGCAAAAAAACAGGTGCCGTCAGTGGGATTAGATGGAGCTTTCGCAGAGTAGTAGTAGTAGTAGTTGTAGTAGTAGTAGTAGTAGTAGTAGTAGTAGTAGTGGTAGTAGTCATGCTAGTGGTAGTAGTAGTAGTAGCAGCAGCAGCAGCAGTAGCAGATAAAAGGCTGTTGATTCGGCATGCCAGAAAACTAGCTCACTCCTCGCGTGACCGCGGTTGGAGGTGTAATTCGTCTATGATCAGGTGCACTGCAGGCTCCAACACTGGGAGCTAGGATTAGGGAGACCCTTGGGGATATAGACCCTCTCAGTAAGGCCAACAGTAGGGTTCAGAAGGGGTATCCTTTAAGGGGTACCCCTTATAATACTACCTAAACACCCAAGCTCTCCAAGTCCTGACCTGGCAAAGCTATGCTGAGTGGAGCTAGAGCTTCAAACTACGAGCATAGATTCACTGCAACGACCACCTGGAATAAACTGCAACCCTAAACGCCCTAAACCGTAAACCCTTAGCCCAAAACCCCCTAAACCCCAAACCTGAGACTCGTAAGGCATCTGCTCGATAGCCAGCTTGGAAAAATCCGACTTCGTGCGCTCGCAGATCCAACCCTTGCCATCCTGCCGGGGGAGAGTGGAGGCTTGAGAACATGCGGGATTTTCAAGTAGGGGGCACTGCAGTAGAAGCCTAAGTAGCAGGATCTTTACTCAAGAGCTCCCCAAACGTCAGCATGAAAAAACGAGTGCACGGCAGCGTGACACTAAATCTTTGACGAAACGCATCATACTACCCAACAAGCCCTGTTCCTAGAAAGACATGTGAGGGGGCCGACGAAAGCTGTAGTCATGGGAATCGCAGCAACTAGATCGCGAAGCTTTGGCCGAAAAGCGCGACGCTCCTTGAGGTGAAGGTAGGCTCGGCCGTCCGCAGCACGGAGGAAGGCGCCATCTGAAAGGAACTCCTTGCGGAATCACAGCTTTCAACGGCTCCATGCACGAGAAGTACTGCATCACAAGCAGCGAAAGGTCTCGCCCCGTGTGCTTTCTGACTCTTGTCTTTTGCAAGGCGAATATCACTCCTCCTTTGGCTGTAGCTTGGCAACGTTAACAGCGCTGCCTCAGAGCAGAGTGTCGGTTTACTTCGACGATCAGGGCAGGGGACTGCTCTGGGCTTTTGAGCCCCCCGGGAGCTGCATCTGCAAGTTGTTGCTGGTGCATCAGTCTGTCAGAAGCACTGTGAGTAGGCACCATGAAACAAACGTGCGAAGCAGCTAACAACAGCAGTATCGCACTGGTTACTCCTCATGTACCAAGGGTTGCTTCCGATGCCGTAGACGGGAGATGGCTACGTGCATGCTGCTCTGGATGTTGTTGCTTCGATGCGCATGGCTACGAGCAGGACGTATTTGCCAAACCCATGCTTGCAGAAACAAGTCAGCTCCTCAACCAGTTCCTAACATCGAAAGCCAGAGAACAAAAACAACGACAATACGAAAGATCCCTCCCACATGCGGACTCAAGACCTACTTACATCCCCAAAAGCACGACCAGGCTGGGCGAAAGGCAATCGGCCGTTTGAAGGATCCTTAGTGTCAGGTTTCGAATCGAACAAAGCAGAAACATGGTGAGCGCTAACGGATGCTTCCTTCATATGTTCTTCCCGTTAGATAACTACGATGAGGTTTGGCGCACAACGATGCCTGTGCCGCAGCGACAAAGCTACTGCACTTTACTAGACAAGCTTCGGCGTGATGACAGTGGTGCGGAAGCGACGGACCTTCGTGCCGCTGGCATTGGAGACCTGGTAGCCTTCCTGCGTCATGTGCGGCAGCAGGCGCATGGCCCGGCTGGTTGCGATAACCTGCGCAGTGCCCGGCTCCAAGGGAGCCTTGCCTTCCTCCACGTCCAGCACAACCTTGTTGTAGTCATTTCGGGATCGTGAGGATACCCAGCCGCTGCAGTTGCGAAGACGCACGTAGACACGGCCGTCCTTGCGATTCACCATTCGTGCCACAGTGTCTGCCCACTCCTCTGAACAGAGGAATTCCCCAGTGGGCGTGGTGTTGACGTCTGGCTTTGGCAAGACTGCCACCTTGGCATCCCCGACAACCCGGACCCTCTCCATGTACTGCTCAGCATCTTCACACTCCATCAGCGCCTTGCTGACGATGGAGGCAATGGAAGCAGAGGATGGGGTCCAGCGAGCACCGGCTGCCGGAGTGGCCTCGGCCACCTTGGGCTTCTCTTCCGTCTTGGGCAAGCGTGTGAGCGCTTCATCCACAATCTCGGCGGTGATGTTTTCCCCCTTGATCTGCAAGTTGCCCTTCGCTGCCCGGCTGCGTACCCCTGCAACGTAGGCTGCATCTTTGTTGGCCATGAGAGACGCAAGTGCATGCAGGATCTTCTCTCTGCTCACGGGCTGCGCCACAGGCTGCCCATTGTTTCCTCCCTGATCTGCCGCCATGCTGCGATTCGACACACTCTCAATTGGGGCAACACTGCCCGACCCGATTTGTTATCCTCACCTACACCAACGTGCACTTACACTCGCGATAGCTGCAATTCTTTCTTATGCTTGCTACTGCATGACAAGCATGACTAGTCATGAAGATAAATCGCTACGCATACGGCTAGACTGATATGTGACGTTTGGCAATCATGCTTGTCGACACCCACTTGCTATCATGAACCGCCTTCGGATGGGCCTGCAGCGAAATGTCAACTTCATGCATGGGCATCAGGTGACCCCGGAGACTTGTCCCAGTACAGGCGGGAGTGTGATCCGAAACCTCGGCCATGTAGATAGGCGGGATATCACAGGTGCCGACCCATTCCTAAACACACGCCCTGTGATTAGCTTGCGTTGGGAGATGGCCTTCAGTATGTCAGAGAAACAAAGTCGAGCATCCCTTATGGCCGTCCCTAACCCCCCAGGTACCCACTATATAGGGTACCAGAGCCCTAGGGCCCTACATAGTGGGTACCTGGGGGGTATGGCCGTGCTAAGCTTGTGCTGCGCAACAGATCCGGAGCTGCCACCGCCCATCATGCGCATGGTACTCGCTTGGCCAACCTGCCTCCCGCATGTCGCACTCAAAGCAAAAAGTTCTTTGGGGAAGGCCGACGCAGTGCCGTTTGCGCTTCCTGCGGCAAGGCAGGCTGCGAGCCCATGAACGGCACATTTCATATAAACGGTAACTCGATCTCATGTCACGAGTAAATCCCTATGGACTCAACACCGTCTAAGGGCCCTGCCCAGCTGCATGAGTCAGCTTGAAGCAATCCTGAGTCTGCATGAGAATGAAATTGCTGGAGTCTGGAGAATGCAGAACTTGTTGTGAAGCTTTCCCCGCACAGGCGTCAAATGTGCTCCATGCGATTGGTCACGCACCTCCATGTCCAATGCTTTATACATTATACATATATATATATATATATATACACACACACACATACAATGCTCATGCAACGTGAGAGCCTCAATGCCTCAAAGTTCCGAAAACAAAGCGTGTGAACCCCAAACCCGAACAGGTGGCAAGCGTCGTAGCAGAAGAGCTCAACGCAGTCTTGGCAACGAACGAGCGCCGACTGCAAGGGAAACAGCATGAAGGCAGAAGCTGCATCAGGTTTGGGCTTCTGCGGCAATTGCTGGTGCAACAAAAACCACCGTGGCACAAGTTCAGAGAATACGTCAGGCAGAGCCACCGTTATTCCTGTTGACATTGCTAATTATTCAGGCCCCTATGGTACTTACGCCAGTAATTCTTGCGCATCAGTGGTACAGTTGAACTGTGAGCTGGAGCTGGCAGGGACATCAATAGGAGGATTATGTTGCCCTTACCCTCCAGGTACCTACTATATAGGGCCTTAGGGGGTCTAGTGCCCTATATAGTAGGTAACTGGGGGTTTAGGGTTGCACACATGGATGTCATTGTCTCAGTTTTGTCTTTGAGACAAGTCGGTGCCGATGCCCTTACTTCTAACACCTTTAGCCAGCCTCGGCATCCGTGGACAACGTGGGAGTCGTGGCACATGGATGCCGGTCGTGGGCTGATTGCACAGCAGCTCAGAGGCCCAATCCCCAAATCACCCAAGTCCCTATACCCCTGAAGGCCAAGTCCCAACATCACACCCAGCCTTGGTAGTGCACTCAGCGCAGACTGCCTGCTCGATGAAGACGAGAGGTGCATCCTAGCACTGGCAACGAGGTCCAAAGGTTGAAGGCCAGAGTCATATCGGGATAACAGCATTTTAGGCAGGCCCAGGTGGCTCTGTAGGTTTGTGACTTGGAGGCATGCAGGTCCGTGCAATACAAAGCTCCAGCAACTGCGAGTGAATCATTGTCAAAAAGCAGATCAACAACGACAGGCACATGTGGATTAGGGTCGAGATCGTCTGTTGGTTACCGCACGGTCAACAAGCCCCTTGCTCACCTGTATCCGTAATGAATAGCTATCTCGAAAACTTCGGTACTCACCTCGTTAGTCAACGATAGTAACAGTAGAGCAGGTGACGATCGAAGATTCTTCTTGATGTGAACCCTAAAACATCCTTGAACAAGCTGTCACCCAGAGTGACCAAATTGAAGCGGTCCTGCCGGTTCCCGGTGCTGTGCGTTTCAACGGCACACTGATTGCACAGAACGTCATGGCACCCAGCAGAGATCACCTGAATCAGAGATTCCTACGCAAGTCCAAAGCACGCTATAAACAAAGCCCGGAGATATATTGCAAACTTCAAGCCCTAAACCCTAAAACCTTTAAGATCTGTGTTCTAGATTCCTCAGGCCGGCTGCGTCCTCTAGAGGCCGAAGAGAATGCCATGTAGTGTAGTGTAGGGATTGGAGTCCCATTCGGGGGCACATGCTACCGAGCTGCTGGTTTCGTATGACTAGGAAGACATGACTGAGGCTCCTATAACAGCCCGAAGCCCTCGAAACCGCGTGAAGTACAACGCCGAGACCCAAATCATTCCTGAACACGGTGTTCTGAAACTCACGAACAAGCTGGACGGGAAACTCCGAGTAAACCGTAAGCCCCATAGTACTAACTGGGCACCCTCCTTAAGCCGAAACCCACCCCTGAACCTCTAACCCCTAAACCTTAAACCCTAAATCCTAAACCCTAAACCCCAAACCCCAAACCTTAACAAATTATTCAAGTTTGTGGTCAGAAAGCCCGAACCCTTATATTGCTAAACCCCCAGCAACTGAGGCCAAAGGCATCCCCCAGAGCTGTCTGACACTCCACGCAGTACAGGAGGCCTAGTTCCATGGACTTTGGGCGGGTCTAGGGTTTAGGGTTTAGGTTTTAGGTTTAGGGTTTAGGGTTTAGAGGGCCTCTTCATGAAGCCCGAAGGCGAAGAAGAGCCGTTGCGATGTGACAGGCTAGCGGTGTGCCCTGGGCCACTGGGGTGTTGGGTTGAAGATTCGATGCTCCTAAGAGCCCCAACAAACCCTGACAACGCCCCAACTTGCCTCTCAGCTCTCAGTCTTGTTTTGAGGCGTGGTTTCCAGGAAGGTAACAGAAAGAGCGTAAGAGTTCTCTACAACAGGAAAACTTCTTTCGCACAGGCCCGCACAGATGTTTCAGGACCCGGCGAGGTTCAATCAAGAATCGGGATTCTGCATTGGGTGTGCGAGGTTTTTAGGGTTTGGGGTTTAGGGTGGCATCTCAGAATTCATGCGAAAACAGGCACAACGGTGAGCTGCTGATACGCGGAGTGAACCCAAGCAAGTCAAGATCGAAACAAGGCCAAGGTAGCGACGGAACCCTAAGTCCTCCAACCCTGAACTATTGAAGTCTCTACAGACGCTAAATTCCTAAACCAGAACTCCCAACTTAAGTCACTCTGACAAGGAAACCCTAGTATTTGCTGTAGAATCCCTGAAGGCAACTCAAAAATTACTTCAATTCCTTGGTCCCTAAACCCTAAACCCCTAAACCCCGAACCAGAAATCCCTCGCCCTCAATCCCTTGGTCCGTAAACCCTAAGCCCCCTATAAACCCTAAACCAGAAATCCCAAATCCCAACTTAAGTCACTATAATAAGGAAACCCTACCTGTTTACTATAGAACCCCTATTATGGCCACCCCTAAACCCTAAACCCTAAACCCTATAAGCCCTAAACCCACCAGAAATCCCTCAACCCTATTATTTACTATAGATCCCTATTATGGCCACCCAGAAATCCCTCAACCCCTTGGGTGTCGCCTGATGGGGAGATCTTTTTCATAAAGCCGACGCGGTCCAGCTCGAGGTTCACAACCAGAGACTCCACGTCCACGCAGTTCTGCACGCGTTATTCAGTTTGGGTTTAGGGTTTAGGGTTTAGATAGGGTTTTAGGGTTTATCGGGTTTAGGGTTTAGATAGGGTTTAGGGTTTCTGGATTTACGGTTTAGGGTTTATAGGGTTTCTGGGTTTAAGGTTTGGGGTTTATAGGGTTTCTGGGTTTAGGGTTTAGGGCGGGTTCAGGGCGATGAGCATGGGGGTGCGCCACCGAACTCCAGGAGCCTTGCCTCCGTCGCCCAAGCCTTGAAACATCCTAAAAGTATCTTACTTCAAGGGGCTTGGCAGAAACCAGGAGTCAGAAAACCCAACAGAGCCTCACAGCGAGCACAACTTTCTGAATCTGTTTTCGCCGGGTGCTGGAGTGCTGGACAGGTGGAAACAGAAACTTTCAGCCTTGCATGGAGAAGATATGGGGGTTTCCGAAAATAGGGGACCCTAATATAGTACCCTAAATAGTAGGATCCTTATTATAAGGACCCCAAAATACGGTACCCTAATTTTGGGAAACTCCCATATAGACTCCCAAGGCGCTGCAAGCAAAGTTGCAGCCTGGGTTTGAGGTTTAAGGATTATTCGGTTTGTGTTTAGGGCTTATAGGGTTGATTTAGGTATAGCAAAGACACCTAGAAACACCCACACCCCCTCATAGAGCTCCGAAAACCGAAAACACCCTTAAGCCGCCCCCTCAACCAAGCCCTAACCAGCGCCTGGGCACCAACAATCTGAACCGAAGTGTTTGCTCCAAGCTTGCTAGCAGAGCCCGGTGATCCGCCTCGATGGTGGTCTGGAACTTTCCAGTCCGCTTATACCTGAGGGCACGTCGTAGGGTACAAGGTGTAAGCCAAGATCTGATATCACAAAGTACGATCAGGAACGATAGGTCCGATAAGACAAGAAAAGACGAGAGACAAGACAATGCAACACAAGAAATGAAAACACAAAATGCGGCATAATTAGATAGGATAGGATAAACCAGTGCAGCTTCAGATGAGACAGGATACGAAAATAAGATAACTGGGGTAAGGTAATACAACATGGATGATACGAGGACATCATCACATCGTCCTGACTGAATTACTGAAATGCAGTGTGCCCATTCTGCCTGAAGTAGGCATCTTCGACGGATGTTTTGATCCTGCGGCGCAGGCAAGGCTTAGGAAGGCGACGTTTGTTCAGACAATCAAAATTTTCTAAAGCGTAGCAAAATGGGCCGGTGGAGTCCTGGTGGGCTGCACATCTTGAACACCTAAACTTAGCTGCCCAGTACCCTGGCCCAAAAAAGTTTAAACTTTTCTTTCTGTAGGGGTTTAATATACCCAGAAAGTTTAAAGTTTACCTATTGGGCTCCTAAAAAGAGCTCCAGCTTTCAAAGACACGCTAGCCAGGTCAATGATGTGAAGGCGGGCGAAGCGAAACTCAGACTGAGCTCAGAGTCGCGCGCCTGGTTTTCAGTGTATCTTGATTATAATTGGTTCTAAGTATTTCTAATTTTAGACTTTATTTCATTAGGTATTTTTAATGATAAACTATGACTAATTTCACTAGGTATTTCTAAAAATAAATTGAAATGAATTTCATTAGGTTTTACCAATAATAGGTTTAATTGATGTCAGTGGGTATTTCTAAGAATAGATTGAATCAATTTCATTAGGTAATTAATAACAGTAGATTTAAAAATTAATTTCACGGCTTTCGGGCCAGGCTCCTGCGAATCAGGTAGGGCTCATCGGACGGGCTCACGTCCAAATCCTTCATCACTTCCTGCAAGGTGCAGCCAAAGAATCCTTAAGGTTTAGGGTTTTGGTTTATAGGGTTTAGGCTTTAGGGATCCTTAACAAGATCGGTTTCCCACAACGGGCAAACTGACGATTGCTTCGTTTCAGTGACAGGCAAAGCTGTAGGCCTCAGGCAAATAGCTTGAAAGCTTCGACACATTGGCCGCATCGAAGTTTTGGCGACGACGGCAGCTTGCATCTACTTCTCATGTTGCAAGGGAAGAGGTCGAAATGAGGCATTATCGCTGCACTTTCTCTATAGCCTTCCATAAACCCTAACCCCCCAGGTACTTACTGTAAAGGGTACTAGAGCCCCTAGGGCCCTACGTAGTAGGTACCTGGGGGGTTAGGGTAACATAATCCTCCTGAACCCTAAACCCTAAACCTAAACCCTAAACCCTTCCATAAATTGTTGGGGGGCTCCCCTGTCTCCCGCTTGCCGCGCCTCGATAAGCTTTGGTGTGCAGACGCGTCGCACGTCCTGGAAGCATGGCTTCGGCTCGGGCTCGGGAACCCATATTATTATTACTATTACTATTATTATTATTACTATTATTATTATTACAGCATTATTATTACGATTATTAATATTAGTATTATTAAAATTACGATTATTATTATCCCGTGATTCACTTGGGTCTTCATTTTTGGGTGTCGCTTTGGGTCTTTCAATCTTGAAACCATGAGTGAAACCCTAGGTTTTCTTCGGCTCTTATGCTTGAGGCTCAGGGTTCAGGCTTTGGCGCAAACAGCCCCAGGGTTTGATGTAGACTTGTGGTGAAAGACTACATGGGAGTTTCCGAAAATAGGGGACCCTACCCTAAATGATAGGATCCTTACTATAAGGACCCCAAAACAAGGTACCCATTATTTTCGGAAACCCCCGAGCGACCCTGGAAAAGAAGACCTTAGCGAGCCTTCGGCCCTTGGGAACACTTCGAACATACGCTTTTCGGCTGGCGCGTAGGGTCGGTTACCCCTTGTTGGTCAATTCTGAATTGTCCGGTTTATGATGACTAAAATGACTAAAACTTGAATAATAAAACAAACCAAAAAGTGTGTGTGTGTGTATATATATATATATATTTATACATATCATATTGATGTGATCCGTTCTGTCATGTGCACCGGGTTTCGATCGACCCATGAACTTTCTCTTGGACGGCATCAACTTGAAGGGAAAGTACTTGACACGTAGGCTTCACAACTGGCATGGTGTGATGCAACTGCACTTGAGATCTCGAGGCCAAACCTGCTTTGATCAGGGATTCTGGAAACCTAAACCCTAAGCCCTATAATCCCTAAGCCCTAAACCCTCATCCCTTATTCCTCAGGAGGATCCAAGGCCATGAAACAACAGCACCGCCAGTCCTTTTCGCCCATGATGGCACGGTAAACGTGATGCCGAACGCGACTCAGCAAGCGCGTAGGTGGGGGGACAGGGAGCGCTACACACAAGCCTGGCTTTGAGTGTATGCCGTACAGCTTTTTATAATAGTGTCCTGTTATAGTCTCACTAGAACTATGGTAGTTATAATTATAGCATACCGCAACACCCTTGCATCACGGGGCTCTAGCTTCGGAAACTGCACACACAACATGTGCTAGCCTCCGTTCCAACTTTCGGCAGATATCCAAGGTGTGACGAGGGCCGTGCTAGTGTGGATCCAGGTGCTTCATCTGGAGATCCTCAGAAGACGCAGGCTCTCCTCGTCTCACTCCAGAGATTAAGATAAGATGACACACTCTAGTAGACGACAAACTACTATATATAATACAGTACAACATCATATAGCATAATACAATGTAGTATATTGTAATATAGTATAGCATGAGATATTAGACGGAAGTTTCGTACACGATGTACAGTCTAGTCTAGTATGGTACAGTATAGTAGTATAGTGCACAATAGGTCATAATCTAACTTTAGTGAAACATAACATAACAGAATACATGACACTACCTCCCAACAGCCAGGACCCCTGCACCCTGTGAGGCCATAAGGCGCTCTGCCAGCTTCCGATGCGCCTCTGCGATGGGGTGGTACCTGTAGCATGGGGTGTAGGGCTGTGGGTTCAGGTTAGGTGATGCTTCGGTTCTGTTCGATGTTGAAGCTTTCATGTTCTGGTGTTGCAGGTTCTGTCCTCATTTACAGTTGAGGCAGTGTTTGGAAGATGCACCCGTTGACTCTGCACCTTAAGATTCTAGGATCGCTGGACTTCATGTGTGTGGGGTTGGAATGCTGAGAATGTCACAAAGAATGCCAATCCCAAAGATGTTGTTCGTCTGAGCTGAGTGGAATCTTCTTACAACGCAGTCCTCGGCCCAGACTTGAAAATCTGATCTGCGACTCCAGAACGCAAAGTCCACCTCTGCAGAAGCCCCCAAGGCAGGTGGTGGCACGGTCGAGTCTCATCCTTGTACTTGTAGCAGTACTCCAAGTCACCGCTGCGGACCTTCCCCACCAACTGCTCGACAGATTCCAGACACACCGTGATAAACATGATTGAACGATGCTAGAGTTTATGGCTGCGGGGGTTTAGGCATAAAGCCTTAAAGCCAACATCGCTTGTAAACGACGCAGTACAGGTACACTCTACCTGCCAATGTCCAACTACCTGAGCACCGAAAGCGAAACAAGGAAGAGCAAAGTGGACCAAGCTTAACCTTGCACTCCTGCTTACCTCGAGATTTCTAGATTTGTCAATGATAGCTTTGCTCAAACAGATGCATTACTAAGCCGGTACATAATTCCCAACAGATCTACTCTGATGCCCCGCGCCTGACACGTCCAGCCTTCATCCCGAAGAGATAGCAGGCAATCCCGGATCACCCAGTTAAACTCCGGCTGCGCCTGGGCTCATGGGAGGTTCTTCGGTTGCGTTTTGAGAACGGCAGGATGGTAGCACGAGGGTCCACGGACAAGCATTCATTTAGGATACATACAATACTCGTAGCCGCCAAGTAATTTCTGCGAGCTCTTGGAATAAACAAACCCTAAATATAATATACTACAATAACACTATACTATATGATATACCACAATGTACTATATGACATGCTATAATATACGATGTAATATGCTTTAATATATTGTATGATCTACTATCATATATACTATGATATACTATGACATACTATATCTTGCGCCAGTCTCGAGCTGCAAGCCATGCAGCACCCAGACGACATGAATGCGACAGCCGGTCTGGGCTCCGGACATGACACCTTGTGTGTGTATATATATATATATAGATATACAGATAGATAGATATACATATGTATACATACATACATGCATGCATACATACCTTAACATGAGATACATAAACAAATCTGTGTGTGTATTATGAGCATAACACACACACACAAACGTTGATAGCTTCAACAGTTGCGCAATCTCTGAGCTTCTGTGTCCGACGCAGGGTACAAGGCGTGCTTAAACTTGGTCAATACGATTTCCCGGCTCGCCCCCCGGATTTGTGAGGTATGTATATGTGTTCACACACTTCGTAAAGTCGTAGACCGTTCGTGTACAATCCGAGCGAAAGAGAGAGAGAGAGAGAGAGAGAGAGAGAGAGGAGAGAGAGAGAGAGAGAACGAGTCAGAGGCAGAGGGAGAGCTATGGCACATCTGTGCTTCAATGAATGGACCGCAGTAGTTACCCCGAACCCGTAAACATAGAGAACTTTGAGGCTGCGAATCTCGGGAAGCCTGCTAATTATTACAGTAGTCTTGTGTGTCGACTTTTGTTGTATCACCACAAGGTGGGGCTCAGCCTATTCGCATAAAAGGCACTGGGTCTGAAACATCAAGGAATCGACCGAGTGCTTCTGAACTGATAGATCCAACACATCGCATCCAGCCTGTCGAGCTGTAAAATTTATCTACCTATCTGTTTATCTACTGTTTATCTATCGGAATCTATCCATCTATCTAGCTAACAATCTACATTCGTCATGTGCTTACATGTGTGTGTGTATGTATATATATATATATATGTGTGTGTGCACACACACTCATATATACATATGTATATTCATAAACACGATATCATATCATATATATATATATATATACACATATTCTACGTGTATAAGTCCCTGAATGCCGTCTGCAGTCGAGGTGCCATGACATTGACGCCCAACTTCTCTGCCATTGCCTGCATCACATCGTCGGTGAATTGGGCAGCCTCTTTGACCTGCGCGGCACGGAGCTTTTTGAACGGATCTCTAGTTAGGCATAGGTTTTGGTGCTTCCTCGAGCAAGTGTGGTCGAGTCACGCGCACAAAGCTCGAACGGAGTTGCTCGAGAAAACTCGCCGAGCTTTTCAAGTGAAACACAGCCAAAACGTGAAGCCACACCGGTCGATGGCCATGACTCTAGGATCCCACGGTTGAATGCACCACCTAGTAACACGCCCTACACCCAGAAGCCTGAAACGCTCCAGACTCGGAAGAGCTCACAGGCCCGATCCAAACATCAGCAGGTCTTAAGACCCGAAGTGTGAGTTATGCAGGGCAGACCGCAACAGGAATCGGAACAACTCAAGAGTTCATCATTTTGCTGCGAGTCCTCAGAAGTTGAAAGGCTACTGGACATGTGCTTGAAGCGCTGGATCCAACTTCCGCTGCCTTCGGTCGTGGCTCGTAGGACGAAGATGGGCGCGCTGGCAAAGGCAGCAGCTGAGGTAGGTCAGGATCGGAGTACCTGCTCGGTAAGCCCAAGATTCGTGCAAAGCTGTCCAGCCAACATCTTGCTAGATTATTGAATTGACTGTGGGTTCGATGTCGCAGATGTCGCAGACTCTAGCAAACTTTCACCCCAAGTAACTGGTCTCCTAAGCGACTCTAAGCTAAAATTGTCGCAGCTGCGTCAGTTAAGCCCACTGTCAGAAATGCCGTTATCAGCATGAATTTCACCAGTGATGTCGAAAAAAACTCAGCTCGGGTTGGACATCCTGGCTGGGCTCACGTCCTCTGCATGTTCACCTTCTTCTCCGTGTCTGCGGTGGGCATGGCGGCGAAGCGCGTCAAGCGCAATGCTCCGGCACGAGATATGGACACGAAAACACTCCCCAGTGCACTTGATGTCGCATGGGCAGATGTCGTATAGATGCTGGGTTGGCTGCTAGGGCAGCTTCGGTTTCCAACGTCTGTAAGAGAACACATACCCAAGCCTCCAAGACACTGTCAACCGAGCCGGACATGGCGGCAACAACCACACAAGAATTGCCGATGGATTTTCTAACCTGCACGACAAAATCAGACATGATGCCGGAGCAAGTGTCGGAAGGACTTGGCTTGGAGGGCACTGCTCATGCTGCCCTCAAAAATGCCTCCCTGGCACGTCTCTAGATATCATAGGCTCTGAACTTTTGTCAACTCGTCGCAAGCAGGCCTGCGAGTGATGCATCATGTCGATGTCAACAGTAGCCCAATAAATTGCATTTTTGCGCTTTTGGGCAGGACCTGGCAAGAGATAGTTTCAATCAGACTCGGAGGCACGGCCTAGGCTGGGTCGCCCCATGAGGCGCTTCATGGCGCCTTCGTTGCTCTCCCCTGTTGGCTCATTCTGATGCACTGCAAAGGCCAGGCCCATCCGCAGGAAGACTCGATCATAAATCGTGACGTAGCGCGTGAGGAAGGGCGCTCCCAGGAAGAAGGTAGAAGCCTCTGAGGCCTCTGCCTCATCTGTGGATTGGAGCTGGGGGAAGCAACCCTCGCTGGTTCGCTTGACATACTCGTACTTGTCCAAATTGTAGGTCACTCCTCCCAGCTCAAAGCCCAGCGCGGGCAGTTCATCGTAGTTGGAGCAGTCGGTGGCCACGTTGAGCTCCTGACTTATCGCTTCCATCAGATGCTTGGGCCCAGAGATCATTCCGGAGCCCGTGTCGAAAGCTGCGTGGCACCCCTTCTTGCAAACATCCAAGCGGACTAAGTTGAGGGTGACGTCAGACATCTCCACCTTCCGGGCTTTATGTAACTTTATTGGACCTCTCACCTTTAGGACTGATGTGCCACATCGTACCAGCTCTGGTGCTGCGTGCGAAAAAGAGCGAAAAAAACATCAACCCACGTAGGGACCTCATGTGCCTTTGGGCTGACGACTATTTGGACAAATACCTCTCGCCCGCTTTAGCTCTGCCTGCCACAGACCCGAGGTCGTCGAGGAGAGGGGCAGCCAGGCAACTTCTGAGCCCAGTCGGTTGGGTGGCAGGGCTCCGAAACTGATCTCGGAGTCTTCCTTGTCATCCTGGCAGGTTCAATGGAACCCCTGAAGTGAGCCTGTCAAAGGAATCCTTCAAAGGAACCCCTGAAGGGTTTAGGGCTCATAGGCGTCAGTCTTAGGGGTCCCTTGGTCGCAGAAGGGAAGGAGATGGCCGCTTGAGACGAGCCAAGTCAAAGACTCTGTTAACTTCTCTCGGCGTATCTGGGACTCACGACCTTTTCCCTGGCCCCGGCTTGCAATACCGTATTGGAAGATTCGGTGACCGATCTAAAACCAGCTACCGTAACATGGAAGCCTTGAACAATTGCCAATGCTATTACTTATGGGTTCCTTGTGTTCCTTCTAGACTTAAGACACGAAATCCGCAGAAGCCTAGGTCTATTCATTAAGGCTCCTGTATTAGAAGCGCTTGAGTTGCCTCCGTGGCGAACCAGACGGCAAAACGATCTTTGTCAAGCTGGTTAGCCTCAGACAAAGGCTTGATGAGACCCTGCTCCTCACATCTGCTGTGCTAGGAATGCTACACATCCCTTGAAGGCCCCTTAAAAGACTTCTATAGGATACTGAGTTGGGAGTGTGTTGGGGTACAAGCCCGGTACTCAGTGAGCCCTCCTCAGCTAAACCTGGTAATGTTGGATCATCAGCCCATGCAGGGCTGTGCGTCTGCAGGCCCTGCAGTGCCAGCCTGAATGCCACCACCCCGGCCTTCTACTGTAGGGGCCTTGATGATAGGTTTTGGGATCCATTATACCATAACTATAATAAGGAACCCCGAAAACAGTATAGGTAATGATTTAGGCCCCCTATATTGGCAAGGTTTTGTGAGTAGGCATTCCGAAAGTCCTCTGGTAAGGAGACCGTCGGGTTCACCTTTTGCCATGCCTAGTCTGGACCATCACTTCGACTAGGCCCGGAGCACTGAGCATGAGGGGCTCAGGCAGGGACATCCGCGAGGTTGCCCAGGAAGTTGTGCATCTGCGGCGATCAGGAATACTGCAACATCACAGCAGAACGTGCGGTGGTCGTTGTAGCTGTAGCAGCAGGAGCAGGAGCAGGAGCAGGAGCAGGAGCAGGAGCAGGAGCAGGAGCAGGAGCAGGAGCAGGAGCAGGAGCAGGAGCAGGAGCAGGAGCAGGGCAGGAGCAGGAGCAGGAGCAGGAGCAGTAGTAGTAGTAGTAGTAGTAGTAGTAGTAGTAGTAGTAGTAGTAGTAGTAACAGTACTANNCATGGCTTAGGGTTTCAGGGTTCAGGACCTTGGGCTTTGAGTGTTTAGGAATTTAGAGTGTCGTCGCCGTTGTCATCGTCGTAGAGAGGAAGAGCAGCAAGATCATGCTTATCAACCAGCTTTCGACTGAGAAGGACAACAAGACTACAACGTGCATTATCAACACTCTTCGATTGTGGAAAGACTCAGGTTCATGATTCTTCAGCTGAAGCGAAAAGTAGTCAATTGGCCAAAGAGCTGGCAGTTCCGGAATGCTCAGTCTTCAGATCTGATCTGACAACCCGTGCAGAGCTGCCATCAACACTGGTGCCCAGACTTTCAGATCTGGCACCAGTTGGGCTCAGAATGCGCAAGGTGGGGGCCACGTGTCTTTGTCCACTCTCAAGCGAAGCAAGGGGCAAGTACATGCAGTCATCTAATGCAGGGTTCACATGATAAGAAAACAACGAAAACACATGCATGCACATGCATATGCACACCAAACCCCAGAAAAAAAAAAAAAAAA